TTTCAAAGAGAGGTGATTGAAAGGAATACAGAAATCATTGAATGATCTCATTAGTATTGCATCCAACTAAAATTTTGCTAAAGATAATTAAAAAACAACTGCAACCACAAACTGACAGAACTTCCAGAGATTCAAGGCAGATTCAGACGAAGACGTGGATTGAGGGATATCATTACTGATGTCAGATGGTCTGGAAGCAGAGAATACCAGAAAGATGTTTACCTGTGCATTATTGAGTATGCAAAGGCTTTCCATGACAAGCTATAGACAGCATTGCAGAGAATGAGTATTACAGAGCAAGTAATTGTGCTCATGAGGAACCTGTGGCAGTTGTTTGAACAGAACAAGGGAACACTGAATGGTTTACAATTAGGAAAGGTGTGTGCCAGGGTTGTAGTCTTTCATCATACTTATTCCATCTGTATACTGAGCACATAATCCGAGAAGCTGTATTAAATGCAGAAGGATGTGGCATCAGGATTGGAAAAGACTCATTAACAACCTGCAATATGCAGATAATACAACCTTGCTGGCTGAAAGTGAAAAGGACTTAAAATACTTACTGATGAAGATCAAGGACCACAGCCTTTGGTATGGGTTGCACCTCAACATAAAGAAAACAAAAATCTTAACCACTGGAACAATAAAATATAAATGGAGAAAAGATTGAAGTTGTCAGAGACTTCGTTTTGCTTGGATCCACTATCAACACTCATGGAAGTAGCTGTCAAGAAATCAAACAACTTATTGCATTAGGCAAATCTGCTGAACAAGGCTGCTTTAAAGTGTTCAAGAGCAAAGATGTCAGTTTGAAGACTAAGATGTGCCTAACCCATACCATTCCACGAGAGCCAAAATATGACCTTGAATATATCCCACCTAAAATTAGAGATCATTTGAAGAATAGATTTGATACATTAACCACTAAAGACTGAAGACCAGAAGAGTTGTGGGATGACATCAAGAATATCATACAGGAAGAAAGCAAAAAGTCACTAAGAAGACAAGAAAGAAGAAAAGGGTCAAAATAGATGTCAGAAGAGACACTGAAACTTGCTCTCCAGAGTAGAGATGCTAAAGCAAATGCAAGAAATGAGGAGGTCCAAGAGCTGAACAGAAAATTTCAAAGATCAGTTCGAGAAGATAAAGTCAAATATTACAATGAAATGTGCAAAGATATGGA